TCCAATTAGGGTTTCTTCTCCTGGTGGAACTGCCCGTGAGCTCGGTTGTGATTTTGATTTCCACCCCAAGAGAAATTTGGATGATTTCTCCACCCCGGATTGTAAGTGTCAGAATGGGGGTTGTTGTGCTGATGTTGACCCAACTGGGCATACTCCACTTGTTCCATTCTTTGTGAAAGGATGAGACATTCAGTTGTGCCATGTTCTGCCCCACACTCTTCGCAATTTGACTTCTTTACTTGTGTTGAGTTCAACGTTTGTGTTATGCTCTCCATTTTGTGAAATAAGGAGTCAATCTTTGTAGATAAAGCTGAGTATGTTTCTACCTCGTAGACTCCAGCTGATTTCTTTGGACCTCCTCGATCTAAAGACCACATGGTTGAAGTACTAGCCATTCTCTCAAACAACCCCCAAGTCCATCAATCGTTCTTGTGGTCAAAGAGTCATTTGATGATGAATCAACCATACTCCTGAAATGGGCCGACTTTATGATGGGTGTAATGACTTCCATCATTTGATTAGTGTAATGACTTCCATGTTCGATGTTAACATTTTTGTTGACCGGATCATGTTGTGTANATCATGTTGTGTAAGGTGTTATTATTGCAGCTGTACTTGTGTGGCCACCTATGTAGTCTGACCCGGATGTTAGAATTTTTTCTATAGCAATCAAATGTTTCCCCAAATGGGAGAATTTTGGAATTATTCTATTATGTGGACTTTCATTTGATTGCAATTTTACGAGTTAGATGTATGGTTTGCAATAATACTGTGATCAGGCTCAATATGTTAGTGATCACTTGTGCCGTTGTATACCTTACGGGCTATATTATTATAATGTGGCAATTTTAAGTATGTGAGCCGGAATTAAGTAAACCCTAATTAGGGTTAGAGTCGATAATTGGCTGACTTTATGATTTCCTATATAATAGCTAGGTCCCCTCTCCTTTCCATATCGTTTTGGCTTGTCCCTTTGACGGCTGATTATTTTGAGGAGCAATGAGAGGAAGATCTAACTGATAATATTCATACATAATAATGTCTTCCCCAGGTACGAATTTCGAATTATCAATTAATTATGTGATTCTTATTCTTAGTATGATTGTATTGAATAATTACAACACTATATACTTTAATCGTAAATGGTCTCTTAGTCATTTTT